TCACTGAAGCTCACTGACAAAGTAGGTTTTGCTTTCCATGGAGCAGCATTATTCCCACATGCCAAATTAAGGGTTGCAGTTTCTTAATTACCACTAATGTGAGAGCCACTGAGGAGGAATAGGGTGATGGAAGGCCTCACAGACCTTGGGATTACAGAAGCGAGGGCAAGACAGCTCAGGGATGGAACAGACCCATTACAGAAGAAAATATTGAGGGGGGGGGGGGGGGAGCACGAGAAGGAGACCACCTTAATTATACTTTGTGTGTGTGTGTGTGTGTGCACCCACATGCATCCCTTTGAGTCAGTGTTGACTTCTTCAGGGACTTCTGGCAACTGCCTGGACAAGTCCCTGCAGTCTCCTTGGCCAGATTTTTGGGAGTGGTTTGCCATTCCTTCTTCCTAGGGCCTCCCATCAGAGGGAGCCTGATGCCATAGCCAGCACACCAAACTGGCTGTTAATTGCACTTGATATAAGTTATGTGGGAGAATACTTTGGTAGGTTTGAAGATACATTACCTTACCAGCAATAAAGATCTTTCCAGAAATCCAAGTGGTTCTTGCTCCCTGAGTTAGCCAGCCTTGCAGTTCAGATGTTGGATTAGGAGCAGGGAGATCTAGATTCAGGTGTGTCCTCAGCCATAGAAGCTTATTGGGTGACTTTTGGGCTCTCCGCCCACTGAGCCACTCAGAGATGTTGGGAGTTGGGCAGCATACAAGTTTAATTTAGTATTATTACCTCACGGGGTTGTTATTGTTGTTATTGTGGGGGAAAGTAGGAGGATGGAATGCTGTGTATGACACTTTGATGTCCTGATTGAAAGGCAGATGTAAATCTAATAAATACATAATGAGTCTAATTTTGTTTATTTTAGCTACAGGTAGTCCTCAGTTAACAACTGCCCTGTTTAGCGACCGTTCGAAGTTACAACGGCGCTGAAAAAGTAATTTTATGACCTCCCTCACACTTGACCATCACCGCATCCCACAATCACATGATTGCCATTTGCGCGCTTCACAGCCGGATTCTGACAAGCAGTGTCAATGGAGAAGCCGGCAGTAAAATCGCAAGTTACAGTCATGTTATGTCATGCTTAATGATCACAGTGGAAGTAAGTTCGTCACAATCATGTGATGTCTCACTTAATGACCACATTGCTTAGTGATGGAGTTGCTGGTCCCAATTTTGGTTGTTAAGTGAGGATTACCTGTATTTGTTTATTTTGCATTAGTTACTGTATATCCCGTCTTTTAGTCCTTCATAAAATTCACAACTCACAATCACAAATTAAAACCAGTAGCAAACAAAATGAGTTTTATGTGATCTGGAACCTTTCAACTGTGTTGAGCTTCAACTCTCATAATCCTCCAGTTCGTTGGACAACTGTGATCTAATCTGTCCAATATATCAGTGTTAGGTAATCTGGTATCTCCAGAAACTTTGGATTATATAATTAATAACTTATTATAATAATTATAGTAATTCCTTATAATTCCTGGTTGTTAACCATTCTGGGACTAAGGAAGTTATAAATAAAATGTTTGGAGAGCACAAGGTTGTATTTTCCAGTCATATTTTATAGCAAGCCAACAGCCAGAGTTAAGAGCCACGTCGGCTGCTCAGACCAACTGCAACATATAGATGCATGTCACTGAATGCCAAAGTGATACATGCCTTGGATCTACTGATGTGGGTGATAAGTCCACAAATTGAGCACTTTTCAGATATTTTGGTATACTGATGAAGCTCCTGTCATACCATTATATTTCTCAGTGGGCCTCATCCATGCAACCAGACATAATGGTTAGTTAAAGCAGCCCTAAACGAATGAATGATTCTAATCATGCTTGCTACTTTCACAGCAGAATCTGTCCATATGAAATGGCCACTTGGGAGATTTCTTTAAAAGGATACTTAAAGTATCCTTGCCAAGATCCTTTTCCATGGGTAGGGCATATCCAGCTGGGGTAATAATTGATATGATCCAGTCATGGGAAATTTGGGGTCTAGCCACAATATCCTGTCATCAAAAGTGGCAAAATATCAGATATGTGGGAAAGATCTGCACAATTAGCTGTTCCCTTCACAGGGCTTCCACATTGCCCATGGGAATAGACAGCTGAACTGCTTTCCCATCTGCACACACAGCTTGAGTAGCTTTTGCTATCAGAGATGAACAACAGAACTAGGAGAGAAGAGCAATAGACAGTGGTGATTATGAAAGATAACTTTTATGAATGACAAAAATGTGGGTGAGATTTCCTATTGTTAGAATAGCAGCACTTTTCCACAATGTGACGTTAATGCAGGAGAAGTGAGAGATTCCAATAGAAGCGAATGTGTGTAACTCATGGTTGAACTGTGGAGTCCTTGGGGTTCTCTGAGCTTGGCTGTTTTCTTGCAAATGTTTCGCTACCCAGCTAGGTAACATCTTCAGCTTGAACAGCACATGGCTCCATTTGGGGGGGAAACTAAATGGTGAAATATAAAGACAGCATTTAATAAAATTGTTATTATTTTATATTGGGGCCTTTGACACATTCATGTATTGACTGTCAGTGTGAGTTTTAATTTGTGTGTTTTCTGGCAGTGTTGTTTGTGTTGGTGGGGACGGAATGTTCAGTGAAGTGATACATGGTCTAATTGGAAGATCTCAGAAGGACTCGGGCATAGATCAAAATAATCCCAAAGCACAATTAGCCCAATGCAATATCAGGATTGGCATAATTCCTGCTGGTAAGAACTGCATCGTGGTGAACTTCTACCGTACATTGTTATCATTAATTTATCACCTTGGACCAAAACGAAAAAGAAGTATTATTTATGTGGGGAAGCACAATGGTTAGCTAGGGAACTCAACAGATACTGAACCTTGCCTAGAATTATAGGCTTATCTCAGATTGCCTTATATTTATTGAAACCTGTTCACACATGCACTTGTGAAGGGAAAATGGGGGAATGGAAATGAACAAAAAGGCAGTGTTCCTCCACAGCTTCTATACATTCATCCAAGCTTATGGGTTGGATGAATCCATTGAGATCCAGCCCAGGACTTGCATCTTTTTCTAGAGATTCAGTCTATGTATATAAATGTGTAAACAGGTGTAATATTGTGGCACACTAAGATTTTAAGGGGTGTCAAGTACAGTTGTCAGGTTTACGATGTTCAAATCCCAATGAAGAAAAATCTCATGCAACCCAGTTTAGGTTCAGAAAAGATTTCATTTATTGGAACAGTACGTGTAACACTAAGCAAAGCATTGCTGAAACTAAAGCCCAGGTTTTTCCCTCTTTGCTTTTACCCCAGATTCTCACCCCCCTCCTCCTAGGCGCCAGTTCTCTTTCCCACCAAGGCTCTTTCCCACCAAGGCGCAACCTTGCACATTCTTATCTCCCGATAATAGTCCATCTTCCTGGCCTTTGAAATCACACCAATTCCTTCTACTTTACCCCTCCCCCTTCTAACAAATGGCAGAAACAAAGCAAGCAACTACTAAGCTAATATTTTGATTGCTGAAGGTTCTGACAACAGTACATCATCAAATCTTCATAGAACCCCAAAGACACTGCACCCATGCTCTGTCCCTTCTTTTGGAGATGCCACTTGAAATCCAGAAGGGGCCTTTCAGAGTGCAGACAAAATTATCTGGTTCTAGAACCACAGAAAACACATCCCTTATCACAGTTCTCATTATGCAGAAGACCTTGAATAGGATCAGAACAGAATATGGATACATGAAATGTGAAGAGCACCAGACTGGAGAAGGCCAATTTAAGGGATGAGTTTTGTTTTAATGTAAAACTGTTTTGTGCTTTGTGAAGATTAATTATTGTCATATGATTTATGATTTGTCAGCATCCTTAATACTCCTTTTAATGGATTGTCCATTCTCACAACAAATTCTAGCCTCTAACTCACATGAGACCCGGACAGTTGGTAGTATACCCAAACTATGATAATTAGGAGTAAATAAAAAGTCTATAAAAATTCTAAGAAAGAAAGAAAAGTATATAGAGTATGGTTTCTTTCTAAATTGACACTCTATGCTTTTGTGTGTGTTACATTCAATTTAGACAGCTAAAAAAACAGTTAATATTGTTGATATATAACTGAAAGAAATGGCTTATGCTTTGACTGACTCAACTTGAGTTTTTACTTTTCATTCCTGCAATGCAAACCATTGGCAGATCAGTATGAGAAAGTTCCTTATGAAGGTATATTTATTTAGTCAGCAACCAAATTCCTATTTGTATTCTAAACCTCTTTGTGTAAATGGGCACAGAATTGTGTTGTTGCTCATAGATGGCATTGACAGGAGATTCCCAGGACAACTCACAACAAAATTAAACCTATGATCAAACAAATTAAAAGACCACAGTGTAGAGAGAAGTCAGCAGGAAGAAAGACATACCCGCCTCAATTTAAAATCATTTAAGGAGGATTAAAAAGCTTGGAAACATTAACAGTAACTCTTCACCATAAATTCTAGATGTGCATTCATTCCATGGTTAGAGCATTCCCAACTTTCTTCATTGGCCACCTGCTGTATTTCAAGCTGTGTAGTGAAGGTTTGTCATTACTCTGTGTGAAGACACTGGTGAAGAAAGAACTTTAAATGTTGAAGAACTGTAGATCTTGAAAAGAGCATTTGTGTGGAAGAGGAAAGCAAACTGGGGGCTAATGTTTGGGCAACCATATCTGGGCTGCAAACATCCCACTGATCCTTCCCAGCAAAGAGATAGAGTCTTCTGTATCTTTGGCTGCAACTAGCCATTGTCTGGATGTTTGTAGCCCAAATATGGTATGCCATCCCAGCACTGTTTGGATTAATTGCAGTTTCTAAATCATCTTCAAGGCAGTTTATTTTTTTCATCTCTGGCTGCTCTTATTTTATAATTGAGCACTAGATTTCAACCTGGTTTCAAGAACATCTCTTTCTAAAAGATTGGAAGAAAGACTCTTTTTCCAGAAAATTGATTTCCTCTTTGTTTTCTGCCTGAAAATATACCTCTGTTGCTTAGAGACCATTATGAATTATAGTTTCTCTTAGAGGGGGATAAGTGTTCAAATAAGCAGTCAATACAATTAAACCTGTGTTTTCTGGTGGGCTGTCAACATGTGCTGTTGATGTATTCCATTGGAACCAGTTGACTCTGCCTTGATGTTAATTCACTTGCAGAGGATCCATTGGCATTCACTGTTATGTAAAAAGTAACCCAAAATGTAGCTGGCTCTGCTTGTTTAACTGCACTTAATCCACCTGTCTATCTGACAAATCACATTTTTGTTTAAAGTATACACCAAGTATAGTTATTTTGTTCCACTCTTGGAAAAAAGTACCAGTTTGACCAAAGGATTTTCACTGCAGCTTTGTACCAGGAAATCAGTGTCTCTTTCCACCTTGTTAAGCCACCTTGCCTGGCTTATCAAACAGAATATAGGAAAGCAAACTCCACAACTATACCTTTCCAAGCTCCTTAAAATAGGTAGCAAGAGAGCAAAATGTGCTTCCAGTTCACCAAAGGAAAAGGAAGAAAAATTTTCCCTGAATATCCCTGAATTAATATCCAAATTTTTGCCAATGCCAACACACAAAAGGTAATAACCACATGGAAGTTGTAAAGGTCTGGAAATCCAGATAACCCCTTGCACTAACTTGATAATAAGTCATTTTTATAGATCACCCACCTTGGGTTTGAAGAAGGTAGACTAGCTGTATAATATGGTCATTTCCTTCTCTTTTGAACTTCAGAACTACCATGGCAGTTCCCCCAGAATCTACACGGCTGACTGAACAGCTGACATCAGGGCTCTGTTTAGTAGCTTAATCCTCAGTTAAGATGATTTTGTCTTCATAATGCTGTTGAATTACAGACAATGTAAAGTTTGGTTATTTTCCAGGTTCAACAGATTGCATATGCTATGCAACCGTTGGCATCAATGATCCAGTGACATCTGCCTTACATATCATTGTGGGTAAGCATTAGTTTGCTTTCAGGCTCATTGACAGAATTTTAAAGACCCTGAGCAAGATTGTCCAGCATCATTACTACTTTTGGCAAATGGAGATTGGCTGCAAAACCAAAATATAGTTGCTGACTATTAAGGTGTCACTAATGTCAGCTGAGGAGTTTGCAGAAGCCCTGCTACGCCACTAAAATTTGTCATATGATTTTGGCGTAGATGATATGACAGCTGGACATGGCCAGGAGAGCATTCTGCTGGTGGAAAGTTCTGTTGGGGGACCACTTCAGTTTACAGCCACCGACCTCTCAAAAGCACAGCTGATAGACAGCAGAATGTTAGCATCATCTGTTCTGTGGGAGTGTTACATGTATCTTTTTGAGGTCATTTATTACCTTCCTATGTGACCAGCCTCTAGCTGATGGATATGTGGACACTAGCAGTGTTTCCAGGTATTCTGTGGAGAAGTTTGCCAGGATAGATTTTCAGACTGTATGTATTTTCCTCTTTCATTCCATGTTAGCCTTAAGTAGGATACAGTGGTCATTATCCTAGTATAGGAGCATCATAACACTCAATATAACTAGAATGAATTGCTTTGCTAGACAGTCATAAGAGTCATAATAGCAGACACTTCGCGTGCTAACTAAATTAGTAATTATTAGTTAACACAATGTTTTCAGCATTTGCATCAGAGATCTTCCATCTCAGCTATTATATCAGTCACTGTAGAACCTTCTCTCATGTTTTTATAGACATAAAGAGAGTGGGGTTTTTTGCAGACTGTCTTATTTTACAAATGAACAGTGACTCAGTAATGCAATACCTCTTGTCAATAGGAGATAATCAACCTCTGGACGTTTGTTCAGTACATCGCAATAATACATTTCTGAAATACTCTGTATCACTCTTGGGGTATGGTTTTTATGGAGATGTGTTAAAAGACAGCGAAGAGAAGCGCTGGATGGGTCCTGCCAGATATGATTTCTCAGGTAGGATCTTCTATCTTTTCTGCATCCATCCTTTTATATAAACCTACTGAAAACTAAGTAGCCAACAGATCTCCCTCCCCTGCTTTTTTTTAATCTGTTCTATTAAAATTGCAATACATTTAATTAAATCCCTGTTCCAGTGTTATGTTGTGGTTCGTGTCTTGGAACCAAGGACGGTAGAGACCTCGGTTCAAGCCCTCTCCTAGCTATGGAAAATCACTAGTTGACTTTGGATCAACCATTCTCTTAACATAACCTACCTTCTACCTTGGTTTTATTGGGAAGAAAAATGAAGAGAGATCATCATGTATGCCACCTTGGAGGGGGAAAAAAAGAGATATAAACCTAACAATTTTGAACATTTTTTTCCCCCTATCCCGCCTTTTCTTCTGGAGCTCCAAGTAGTATCCCTAGCACAATTTTTTCCCACAACAACAACCCAGTGAGGTAGGATAGACTGACTGGCCAAAAATGACCCAGTAAGTTTCCCTGGCTGAGGGTGGACTTCAGCCTGGGTTTGGTCTTAAAGTTTCTTGTCACAAGCCCAACCATTTGTGACTTAGCAGTGAGCCTTGGTTTAATGCAGTTCATTCATAGCTTTAACCGTACAATTGTCAGTTTTGTTTGTAGGTTAGCATGTTATGTGAATCTAGCCAATGTGGTTTACAAACCATAGTTTATTGCTTAGAGTGATGTCTGTACTCAACAAAGTCTAGTTAAGCAAATCATAGCTTAACTTGATATGTTACTATGATTGGTATTGGTTGATCAGGTCACTCCTCTGTATCACTTGAGGACTTCTATATCAGAGTGGTCTGGTTCTGGAAAACGTGGCAGGCGTTGCTTTCCAAATCATTGAGTTTCCATGTCAAGAGGGTTCTACAGATCACATTTAGATGGTGCCTAAAGGAGATTTACAAGAAAAAAGTGACATTTATGGCTCTAGAGCGTGAGTCTCCAAGGAAAAGAGTCAAATGGACAATCACACCAGTACTGAGTACAGAGGTGGAAATTTAACCCAGTAAAAGTGGCCTTTATGTACAGAGAACATGTAGACAGTGCCAAGATGATGCACAAAAAGGTCCTTATTTGGGACACAGAGCACGTAGCATGAAACATTCACAAAATAATAAGCAGATGTAAAATAAGTATTTTTCTTCCAGCTCTGTGGGAGAATAGGTAGAAGAAAAGACAACAATTAATGATTTTTTTTCAATCTTTTCTCCCCTTCCAAGGTTTCAAGACTTTCCTCTCCCATCATTACTATGAGGGGACGGTATCCCTTTTACCAGCAGCCCATGCCATGGGTTCTCCAAGAGATAAGAAACCCTGCAGAACTGGGTAAGCCAAATACTCAATTCACCTTGGATGCCCTCTGAGTAGAGAGGAAGTAATGCATTTGCTAATTTGGCTAAATTGATTTTAAAAATGTAGAAAAAGAACCTGAGTTAATCAGGCCCAGTATTCACAAAGGCAATTCTAAATCGTCAGGCATGAAGTTTTCTGCTTATCTAAATTACATTTGAAATGTTACTTATGACACGCTGACATGCAGCAAAATGAATGGTGTCCTGTTAAGTCCATTTTGTCTGCGGAGAGTCATATTTACTTACACACATGCGCGCACACATATAGAATTTTTCAATACAGAAGTTAAGTTACTTTTGTTCTTCAGGTGCCGTATTTGCAAGCAAAGTAAACTACAGCTGGAGAAAGAACAGAAGAAGAAGGACAAGGAGATTAAAAGTAATTTTATAGTTTGTGGAACCTGGGTTGTTAACAGTTAGATTTGCTGATTTACTTTCTAATACCTTTGTTATTTGGATGACAAATATAAGGACAGATTCCAAATCAAAATGGGAAAAGACTGAATTTAACTACTGTAGAAACCCAAAGAAGAGTCAGAGGGGTTTATGATCAGACTGACTTTTTTCAGATTTATTCTGTTTACAGTTATTCATTATCATTCAGTACTAATGCTGATTTATAGCAGATGCTGCAGTGGGCAATGGCTTTCTTTCGTACAGTTTGTAAAACTGCAGTAAATGCAATATGTTCAATACCAATGTTGGAGCCAAAGTAAGGTTGAAATCTGTATTTATCTTGGTATAAGAGCCACTGAGGTGATTTGAACTTAGTGCTAAGTTGATGTCCACTCTTATGCAATGTAATATAGCTGAACCCATTTTTAATGAAATCAGTGGGATTCAAGTCACAGCTAATTTGTTCCATTGATTTGTCTCTATATAAAGTGTGGCTTCAAGCATACTAGGAAGGAGGAGGAGGAAAAAAAATCTTATTTTTTCTATTGTCTAAACATAGTTATTGAAATACTTTCAATATCTATCTCTTATTATCAAGTGATGATGATTATATGGCATCAAGATAGTGTTGACTCTTAGTGACCACACAGAGATACTTTCTCCATGATGATCTGTCCCTAACCTGGTCCTTCAGGTCTTCCAACGGTGGGCCCTTTGCCACTGTAACTGAGTCCATCAACCTTGCTGCTGGTCATTCTCTTCTTCTCTTTCCTTCCACCTTTCTCAACATTAGAGTCTTTCCCAGAGAGCTAGGTCTTTGCATAATGTGTCCAAAGTAGCATAATTTGAGCCTGGTCATTTGTGCCTCAAGTGAGAACTCTGGGTTTGATTTGTTTGGTGATCCATTTTTTTGTTTTCTTGGATGTCTATTGTATTCTCAGGAGTTTTCTCCAACACTGAAGTTTAAAAGCATCAATATTCTTTCTATCCTGCTTCTTCAAAGTCCAACTTTTGGTTCCATAGACTGTCACAAGGAAAACCATTGCCTGCCATATTCTCATCCTTGTAGGTATAGACACATCACACCATCTGAATATCTTTTCGAAGGCTTTCATGACTGTTCTACCAAGTGCTAGTCTGTTGCATATTTCTTGACTGCTTGTTCCCTTTCTGTAGATATTATCAAGTAGATTTCCAGTTTTCAATTCACTTCTCAACTCCCCAAAAACAGCATGATCACACTTCACTCCATGCCATAAAAGATTCCTGATTTCAGTTAAAGTACAAGAACTGGCCAGACTGGGTATTCCTCCTGGTTTACAATTCTGTTTCAAACCCATGCCAACATTGAAAAAAATATGTAATGGAAATTCTTGGGATATTGGAAACATAAAACGTGAAAACATTAAACATCCCTGAACTAGGCATGGCCTCTAGGCCCTGCTAAAACTCCAAGTCCTATCTCCTCTGTGCAACATTACCACTGTTGGTTGGGAGTGATAAGAATAACAGTCTAGCCACCTGGACTATACTAGAAGAAAGAGGGCTCTGTAGGCTGCCTTGAACTCCTGGAAGACAGGTTAAAGATTTAAGAAGCAATAAACAAATAAATATGAGGCTTAGGGATTTGTCAATAATGTTGGAGCTTTTGAGAAGAAATCAGCCCAAACATCCAGATTTGGATTCTAGTTTAAAAAAAGTCCTATTTTGTTGGGGACACTCGGTTGAAGTATACATTATATTAATGCTGCTTTTAAAAAATGCAAAACATAGCTAGAATTATTTTGAAGGAAAAGCAGTCACAAGACTCTGTCTGGTTAGAATTTCAGGCACAGTGCTCCCAATATGTCTGGCAGGTACCAGGTTGGGAAAATTGCCATACATTACTACGCTCAGCGTGGAATCAACAATGTCTTAAAACTTATTTCAAAATCCAAGAATAACATTTGAGTTTCAACTCCTGTGTAAATATATCTCTTTCAGGGGATGAGGAAGGAGAATGGAAGGTTATTAGAGGGAAGTTTCTAGCCATCAATGCTGTAAATATTAGTTGTGCCTGTCCACGGAGTCCTAAAGGCCTTTCACCAGCTGCTCACCTGGCAGATGGCTCTGCAGACCTCATTCTAGTTCGTAAATGCTCCCGTTTCAATTTCCTAAGGTACCTCTTAAGGCATACAAACCACCATGATCAGGTGCGTATTTTTCTTGGTAACAATATGATATCTTCAATGGTTGAATGGAGGCACAATCTGACCTAGATTAAGTCTTCTGGTGAAACACAAACAGAACAATTGTGTAGTTTACAAGACGTACGGATAATAGCTAGACTTTCTGGAACTTACAAGTCAGAGAGCGCTTCATTCCAACATCCTCCAGTTATGTATTATGCATACTTTGAGGCAGGGAGCCTAATTGGTTGGTCATTTTCACTGATCCTGCATAGTCCTTGCCACCTCCATGGATGGGGCTACTGTATATAAATACATGGAATCCAGCACCCCTTCTGACTCCTAAGTGGTCTCCAATTAAACTTTTCCCTCACTTTTAAATAAGTGAACATCTGTTATTCATTCTTTTGTAAAATAAATAAATAATGCAAGGATTTTGGTGACCCTATTGAAGTAGGAATCGAAACATGCCCACCAAGTACAGCCACTCAGTCTTTACCAGGAGTGGGATGGGAACAACATCCCTCTGATACTTTTGAAAGCAGCTTGGAGACTGCAGGAAAGTGGCTATCATGCTTCTATTGCACCCCAAGCCCAGGGATAACTCAGACATGGAGAAACGAATACAACTCTCAGACTTGGAATTAGGGAGACACTTCTCAAGATATGAAATCTGTATTTGGTTTTAGGAAAGAATAGGTAAAGGCCATGTTTTCAAAAGCCAGCCTAGAACATTCTCTGGCTTCATCCTTAATGGCTGCCTTCTCATTTTCAGTTCACAATTCAGGGGCATTTTGCTAGTTATTAAGAGCAGGTGCAGTAAATAATAACAACCTCAATCTAATAAGTAAAAGAAAAGTAAAAAAAAAAGTGAATCCATTAAAGGGGACAGTTAATGATCAATATCCAGATTTGGTGTGTCACAGGGAACAATGTACAACTGAAGTTTGCATAGCAAGTTATGAATTTATTCCATATAATTCAGTGAAGAATTGATGGAAGTGCGTCAAACTCAGTCAATAAGCTGAGTTTTCCAATATTGAATCTGTAATAGGACACATTCTAGGAATAATAACCAGTGTTGGGGAAATGATAGTAAGAATCCTATAGGTGTCTGTTCCTAATCATAACAATGCCAAAGTGATGAAACATGCATTGTAATGCCATGATACAAATTAACCCTTTCATACTTTGCCATAATTTTACCACAAGTACAAAAGGGGCAGCATTTGCACATTTAACCTCTTGCCCTCCCTGCAGTTATGCCTAATAACCTACTTCTTCTTTTAATTTGGTGACTGTCTCTTTCTCTCTCCATGAAGTTCTCTTGGTAGCACTGGATAATATTTCACAGCTTTCCTTCTGTAAAATGGGGCATAATATTGGCCAGTTCATAGAATTCTTGAAGATCTAAAATTGTTCGTATGTAACAAATCTGCTTCTACTACTGTAGTGGCATTCAACCAGTTTAATGTAGCTCAGATGGAGATTGTAGCAAATACAAAAATTCCACATGCTTTGTCTACAGAAACAGTTTTCTATGTACTGTATAGTTTGTTCTGCTGGGTAAAGAAAAGGCTGTTAAGAAAATTGAATTTTATAGCAGAGTTATCAGAATCCAGTCTTAAATATGCATAAACCTATTGAAATGAAAGGCTGAGTACCCCTAACAATATTTTACATTACAGTGCTAAGAGTCATTTAAACAAAATTTAGTTAAATGTTATTTAGACAAAAAAATCTCAGAAGACTGACATGTCTTTTGACAATTGTTAAGGCAACAAATGCTGTAAATTACTTCCTTTTCTCTACAGTTTGACTTCAGCTTTGTGGAGGTTTATCGGATTAAAAAGTTTCGTTTTACATCAAAGCATTTTGATGATGGTGACAATGATGACCAGGATATGCAGAAAAAACACTTTGGTCAGTTCTGTAGAGACCACCCAGCTTGCTGTTGCCTCCCCCCCAGCAGTACCTGGAACTGCGATGGAGAAACCCTGGATTGTTCCACTATAGAAGTCAAGTGAGCGCCTTTCTTTTAAAAAACAAATCTATGAATATAAAGAGATTAGAGTGTCATTCACGCATTAGTTCTTTCCCTGGTAGGGTTTTAAAACGTGACAGTGTACTTCCACTGCAGATAGAAATCTGGTATTTTTTACATATGCATAGCTGTGCACTCTTAATGAAAAAAAAATGAGACTTTTTACATCCTCTCACCAAAAAAATGTCAATGAGTTTTATTAAATAGAACTTTAGACTATTTACAGTCTCCAACAGAAGCTCCCAGGAGAGGAGAATGTTTTTCATGACTATGGTGCAGAAAGAAAAGGTTAAATCTCCTTTTTTTAAAAGTCATCTTTCCAGCCAGAGTCTCCAGTGTGTGATAAAAAGAGATTAAGATGGTTTGTTCAACCAAACTTGGTTAAACAATACCCAATTAGTCCTGTAGAATTCATTACTACAGAATCTGGTGACAGTCACTAATGTAGATAGTTTTGAAAGGGGATGAGATAAATTCACAGAATACAAGTCTATCGAAGACTACTCACATTGAGACTCAGGCTGGGAGCAACCTGCATCCATTGGTTTGGTTCAAACAATACACTAAGATATATACTATAATTTACAAATTCCAGGCCAAATCCCATTATATATGTTCTTTGGCCTTGAGATGCTAGAGACCAGTCCAGTCAATCTAAAAGTTAATAAGAGATAAGAATGTATATGTGAAAAGACCTCTTAATTTTGGCTGGATTATTCCATTTATTAATTACTGGCACTTCTCCAAATTAAAAAATATATACATACTGGGGGAAAACACAAGATATAGCTATTCTTGGTACCTCAAGTTTCCATTCTGAAGAGCTTGTTACATTGAATGACTGAGAGGATTTTATTATTAGTGATTGGCAAATTAGAATTGATGCAATTTTATCAGGTGAAGACTTTCACAATTTCTTATATTTGCAGAGTTCACTGCCAGTTAATTAAACTCTTTGCAAGAGGAATAGAAAAGAGTCCCAAACCTGAATCAACTTACAAGCAACTTACCTGAACAATTAATTTAAGTCAACGCTCCAAGAACGTGAAGTAAAAGAAGGCAACGTACAGACAAATAAGCATTTCAGGCATGTTAATAAATGTTTTTAAACTTGACATGTTTTTCTGATCAAATTTTAATTTTAGGTAGATTTCTTTTCAGTTCCTGTCTTCAAAGATGGTGGATTATTTTAAATTATTGTAACATAGGGCAGGGAAGGAGGCTTTTGGCTAATATTTGCTTTCTTTCTTTTGTTACGAAAGAATTCTGTGGATAATAATAACTAGACAATGCATTTGATGACATTAATTTAGCCATGAAAATAAGCCCACAAAAGATAAGACAATTAACTTGCTAAAAGTTTTGTCTGCTGTGTTTCTAAGCTGGATGCTTCTTCTCTTAGGTCAGGATAGAAAAACAGATTATTATTCTTGTTTTTATTGTTATTATTATTATTATTATTATTTAAATTTAATATAGCTACCCACTGCAGTAGGCAATGGGCAGATTCTTTTATTTTTTTAAGTGGTTTCTGCCAAGCAAGAGAGCTAGAGGCACAGTTCCATTCATCTCCTTCCAGTACGGTATCAAGAGTGGATTGGCGAAGGAGAAATGGAAAAATGTACCATTCTGCTCCAGCTACTCAATTGCCTATACGAAATTTCATCCACTCATTTGTATAGAATTTTTTGTTGCTTGGGGCTACTAGGTGAGTGGCAAGTTGTTAAAAGCAAGCCTGCAAATTTGGTCAAAATGTTGCCATTGGTGTCAGAGGAATATGCTTTCGAACTTTGGGGATCATAATGCAAATAATTTGCATTCTGCTCCTGTTGAAGAAGCTGATGAAACTTTCTATTCTTTATAAGGGGCTTTTGAATCGTGATTTTTTTTTAATTGTGTATGATTTAAAGATGTTTAAAATATGATAGCATCTTAACCTTGTTTCCTCCTGAAATGACTGCACAATCATTCATTCAACCTCAGCACAGTCCAAATGCACATTCTGGGTTGCACATAACAGCAAACATCTTACATATTTGTATGTCGTAGAATGCATTTCCATACAGAAAAAAATAGAGCTCCAAGAATCCCCTTGCTGTTCTCGTAAAGCAGTATTTCTCAAACTTGGTCACTTTAAGACATGTGGACTTCAACTCCCAGAATTCCCCAGCTAGCATGTCTTAAAGTGGCCAAGTGTGAGAAACACTATTTTAGGATTATGTGCAAAAGCTTATTTGAAACTCTGCATACCGCCAGAGTATGCACAAAGGATGAAGCCCCTTAGATGATGCAGGAACAAAACCAGGCAGGATAGGAATGTATGGCACTCCATAGAAAGGACCAGCAGAACTTTAATTTTTTAGTACTCCCATAATTGGAACAGCTTCTGTATACATGATTTTTTTTTTCCTGCCTCTCCCTTCTTCTTCGTGCATGGTTCCCCAAACTGCTCCTACAGGCTTGGTGACCACTGGGATTGTTGTGAGATGTGGTGCCAAAAGGAAGCACCTACAGCGGGGAGGAAGTGTTGGCAGAAAAGGTCCCCCTCCTTACATATATAGATACATGCTAGCATTTCCTTCCCAACCAAAGTCGTTTGTGCAATCAATAGAACAGTGTTTCTCAAACTTGGCAACTTTAAGACCTGTGGACTTCATCTCCCAGAATTCCCCAGCCAGCCATGCTGGCCGGGGAATTCTGGGAGATGAAGTCCACAGGTCTTAAAGTTGCCAAGTTTGAGAAACACTGCAATAGAATCAAGTGACAGAATTCATTTGCTGATGCATGTTTCAGAGATAGCTGAAAATGCAACTAGTTTCATGCAAACTACTGTTGCTACTGGACAGAACTGTGT